AAAAATGAATTATAATTATTTATATTTAAATAATTATTTAATAGATTTATTTCCGGGTTTCGGCACCAATGTTTTGTTTCCCACTTGGCAAATACGCAAGTAGGAAAATCAGAATGATTGTTTACAAAACAATTTGTTCTCGTTAGGCTTAATTGAATAGAATGTTTATACTAGTGTAAAGAAACAAATTTACTTATCTTTGGTCAGGCAATCATCCCAAGCTTTACAAATGAATTTATTTTATATTTCTTTACAATGAATACTTAAAGAATTTACAAATGAATTAAAGCCGCAGCTGAAAGGAATAGTTCTCTAGTGGCGACGTGGTAAGAAGAATGTTCTAGAAGGTGGCGAGCTCCACCTGGCGGTGCCGTCAGCTGGCCTCCCATTGGTCAGCGATGACGTAGCTCTACCGCCGCGCGCTGCCTTCTGCTACCTATGTTAGAATAAAACGAAACAAAACTGATTGTTGAACCTGTATCTATGAATGCTTGTATTGGGGTGCAGTTGACTAATGTGTTGATGTTGATATTCTTGAAGATTGGTCGCTCTATTAGTTTAAATTAACTGTTGGTAAATGTGTTGAGTTAGAAGATGAAGGGTTGGAAGTAGCATACAAAGTTGAGGGTTGTTCGTTTGCTGCGGTTTCTTTAGGGAATGTTTCGGGTCTATATGGACATTCATTATGCCAATGAAAATTATTTAAATTTCGCATTTTGCAAAATCTGCATGGGTATGGTGGCTTCGGAGGTGAAATGACGTAAGAGGTAGCAGATTTAAAGTCTTTAAATTTATTATCGCCGAAGGCTGGTTTGGAGTTCTTTTGTATGGAGCTAACAGCAGCCTCCAATTTTAAGGTTGCACTTACTCAAGTCTCTATATCTTCGAAATGTATGGGGGCTAAGCTTATCTTCCATTGTGCTGGTAATCCTTCCGTCAACATCTGGATCTGTTCGACTTTGGATAAGGAAGTTTGTTTTAGAAGCCGGATTTTGGACTAAAAGTAGTCATTGACGGATTCATCGCGGCGTAGATACCTCCGTTGTGCATCAATTAATGGTGTTGCTTGTTGATGATCCAAATCTTGTAATAAATTTTCGTTTGATGAATCAATGACCCATTGATTAATATTTGTTCCTGCAATTTCATCAGCATACCATTCTAAGCCTCTTCCTTCTAGATAGTAAAAGAACAACTTTCCTTTATCTTCATCTGTAACATGTAATTCAAAAAGTTTTACCCAGCTCTGGGCACGAATATCCTTCTAGTCCCCGCTGTATTTTTGCAATTTTAAAATATTTTCTTTCAACATAATGATATTAGATATTATTTTATTTACAAATTTTTTTTTTTCAGTATTCAATTTTTTGCTTAAAAATTATTAAAATCCAAATTATGGTCCCAATATGACTGAAATATAAATATAATATTCAAATGAATAAAATCTTTTTGATGCTTGAATAATTGAAAATACTTGCCGGCTGCGCCAAAACTGTGGTGAGGTCTGGTTTTGAAGAAATGATTCAATTATTCATCCCAAGGTATTTTAATTATTACAGATATAATAAAAAAATAAATATCAATGTTAATTATTAGTGATTATTATCGTTACAAATTAGAATCTGGTAAAAAGGAGTTTTAAAAAGTTTGATGAAAATGGGAGGATGAAAATGGCCGTTGGCTCGTGGAGGCGTCAAAACAATGGTATCCTCCCCCGTGCTTACCCTCTCAGTGTACCCGGCCGGCCGAGGTGGCGGTGGGTCAAAACACCGTCACAATATATAATTGGAAAAGGTTTTATTAGCATAATTTTACACCTTTTTTTATCCTCAATATGTATATAAGTGACATATATGTAATTATTACGAAAATGTTTGAAAAATCAAATATACTGATAAATGGCATTCAACTTGGAAAATCAGAAGACCTGAATAAATGAAAACGTCAATAAGCTTTCTTAGTCGAATAAATAATTGCTATTCAATACACTATTTTTTCAATAACTCCACGGTATGAGAGGCTGATAAATTCAAAAATAAAAAGTTAAACAAGATTATTTTCAGAATATCACCCAAAAGAATATTTATATATATTATTTTGTGAAAAAAAAGAAAATGGTGATATAATTTACAAATGCATTATTTATTTATTTTCACGTTGCATTTTTTAAATTATAGTTGCTTAGAATATTTTTTGGAAAAGGCATTTTTCTGTCTATTTATATAGGTAATGCCCATACAGCTCAAACTCTGAAGAATTAATTGTAAAATATTATAAAGAAGATTCGTTTTTATTATCCAGTTGATGCTATTTTTTAATTGTTTATTAATAGGATATTTTAAAATAATTATTCAATGAAGAGTAATTGTCAAGAGTTTTTTCTATCCAAACCTCGGTATTAAAACTTTTTTGAATGTTTTAAACTTCAGTAACTCTTTACTCTTTGATCATATCTCTTGGTATTTATTTTTCTTTATATCATACCAACTCATATCTACACTTCTCTCATTGATCCAAAATTTCATCGATCAACTTACATTTGAAACATGGACTAGTCACCACGTTTTCCAGATTATACATTCAAATCGGATATTTCAGGATAATACAGGTAAGAACGTCAAAAACTTGAGATATCACAATTTAAGGCAGGATGTGATTATTTGTCAAAGATTCTTTGATGGAATAAGAAACAAATAAAACAAACACAATCGAATTTTGAAAATGGCTTTTTTAATCAGGTGAGTCCTCATAGAGTAGCAAGTTGGCTGCATACTATGGTAGATATGGAACATCTCTTGTGTGTTTCCATCAATGTTTAAATTATCCCTCTCAAGATTATTCTTTCAACAAAAGACTTGGAATAAGCCAAAGCATATTTATATTCTTTAAAAATAGTTCCTAATTTCCTTTTTGTTACTTTTAAATTTGCAAGAATATCCTTTCTAACGTGTATATAGCATGTATTTATATATTTGGTTGACTTTATTGTGAACTAATACAAGCTTGAGATGAAAGACTTCAATAGAAATTTTAATTGAATTATATTTTATTTTGTGTGATTTCGAAAATGACTCCATTTTTTCTAATCATGTCAGGAATTTTCATAAAATCGATCTATATATATATAAAATTCACTGTTTTTTTTTGTGAAAACTAAAGATCACCAAAATTTATCCAGCCAAGTTTTATAACATACAATTTTTACAGGGCATGGCGATTTAACACATAATAATAGAACATATACGTATCATTAAAAAATAATCACTTGAAAACAATATTAAATATCTATAGATTTATATATCATTTTTTTTGAAGAGGTTCATCATTTATGAGCTAGTAGATGCAATATATTTAATGTTGAAAATAGGATTTCTTTAATGAAAAAAGGCGAAATAATTTGTAAGAATGAGTTTTTAAAATGTTATCGATACCTATTACTTGATAATACATATTAACATACTTAGTAAATGTAAAATATATTAGAGCGTTCCCCAAATGAGTAATAAAACTTACACTATTCAGTACATACTTGAGTAATATTTATTGATTAACTAGACGGGTGACCCGGGCTTCGCCCCGGGATTGACCCGTGTGCATATCTACCCGAGTGATATACAGGGTGATCCAAAAGTCCCGCACAACTTTAAAAATTAATAACTCCGCGAATATTTGCGCTAGAGCAATGCGGTAAACACCATTGTGTTCAGGATGCAATGGGATTTTTTATGGCAAATAATGAAAAATTCGAAATTGATTTTAGTTACAACTTTATTCGCTAGATGGCGCTCTACCAGAATCAGCGATTCAGCGGTCAAATTGTTTGATAAATTGAAAAATATAACTGAACGACACGTATTTTTCCTTTTTGAATACCAGGAAAGAACCCTAATAATATCAAATGATAAATTGATAAAACACCATTTTGCCAAAAGTTAGAAGAAATGGTTAACGATTTTTAAAGGTTTGAATAAAAACAAATATATGTATGTGTATTTTTCTTGCTTCTCCCTAAAATCTATGAATACAGTGAAACCTTCTAAAACGAACCTATCCTTATAAAAAACCTGAAAAATCTCATTTTTATTTCATAATATAGTAAACTATATGGTTATAATGAACAAGGGCTATGGTGAACCACAGGATCAGCCCCGTTGGGGTTCATTATAGAGGGGTTTTATTGTATTTATTTAAAATTTCCTCTTCGCCGAAGGAAACCCGCCCGACATCACACCTGGAGTTTTAATTCTGGTCAGACACCAAAAAGCCGGCAAACACAGGTTACAAACTGGACACCATAAAGTGACAGAGGTGAAGAAAGTGGAAGACGCCGTTAATTACGTCATATATGAGTCCGAACAAGTAGGCAAATGTGCACACATCACCAACCTAGTGAAATTCCACCCAAGATAGAAAATAGCGGTTTCATTGGAGGGGAGGTCTGTCACATGTTTGTTTAAATGACGCATATTTGTTTAAAGTTTTAAGAGATTATGTAAATATGGTAGAGAATATATAAAAAAAGGAGATTTTTGAATTGTCTCCTAGCGTGATTACAATTATTTTATTTCCAAAGCGCTATATCCCGCAACTTGCGTCAAACAAGGAGAAAAGTTCATTTATACATAAGTTATTTACATTATTCAACACATGAAAACATTAGAGATCCAGATTTTGTAGAAAGTTTAGAATGTATTCACAAAATGAATTGAACTTTAAATATGATTTTTTATCGGAAATCAAATCGTGATGCTACAAAAATATTTCTGAGATAAGTATAATGATCCAATACAGTATTGGGGCTCTTAAGAAACAGTCTTTAGTTAAAATTGGCGAAACCGCTGGTATGGTTCACCACTGATGAGACAATCACTCCCAATATGTTTTCATCGCAGTAAGTACGGTAGAAATTTGATTTATAGGTGAAAGAAACAATCGCGTGTTAATGTTTTCATTTTCTATATATAGATGGCGCATTATGGCTTTATATTAATAAAAAAAATTGTCAGAAGTGGGTTTCGAACCCAGGCCTACAAGAATAGACTGCGACCTGAACGCAGCGCCTTAGACCGCTCGGCCCTCCATGTGAGTTGGGTTGCACTAAGGAGTCTTTAATTAAATTTGCAAGAATATCCATTTTATCGGGTATATAGTTTGTATTTATATACACTGGTCCGCAAAATTAAAGGAACAACACATGTTTAAGAAAAAGAAAAGTAATATTAAGGGATATATATCAAGTTTTGGTATATTCAAAAGCTTCCATGAATTAAGAGAGTATGTAAAACAGAATAACAAATAAATTTGTTCCCAATATGCAAAATTCCACCGTCTACGTTGACTCCGCCTCCAGCACGTGCCAGAGTCTTTCTCAAAGCGTCCTAATTTTTTGCTCCACTAGATTTTTATTGAACCTTTTTGTTTCTTAAAGTTTTCATGGCTTATAGGCAACATTTATCACAAGAAAAAAATGGCAAGCTATTGGAAGGATGGAAGCAGGCCAATCACAGGCAGAAGTAGCAAGATGGCTTGGAGTGACAAGAAACGTTGTCTCAAGGCTTTGGAAAATATTTCAAACGACAGCTAATGTTGCCAGAACACCCGGACAAGGACGGCCGAGGGTCACAACGTTAAATCAAGACCGTTATTTGAGTCTCCTTGTGCGTCGCAATAGAAGAATCACAGCATCGCAACTATGAAGTGACCTCAATGCAGCTACAGGAGTCTTAGTATCAACTGATACAATACGCAGAAGGCTTCACAAGAAGGGCCTCTATGCTCGACGACCCATAATTTGTGTGCCATTGACACCACCTCAAAAGAGAGCAAGGAAACTTTGGTGCAGACAACATGTCGCCTGAAATCCAGATGAATGGAGGCATGTAATGTTCACTGATGAGTCCAGATTCTCTCTAAACAGCTATTCTCGTCGTGTCTTTGTCTGGAGAGAGGTAGGAACCAGAAATAATCCCCGGGATATGGTTGAAAGGGATCCCTACAGAAGCCAAGGTTTTATGGTCTGGGCTGGAATCTTCTTGGGCGGTCGCACAGCACTCCATATTTTTCGGCAAGGAACCCTGACTGGACAGAGGTATCGGGACGAGATCTTGGCAGCATATGTGATGTCTCAAGCATTGGAAATGGGATAAACTTTCTTCTAATGGATGATAATACCCGTCCACATAGGGCTGGTGTGGTCGACACTTTTCTCCAAAACCATGCAATTGCTCGGATGAATTGGCCAGCTCGATCCCCAGACCTAAATCTCATTGAGCATGTATGGGACAACCTAGGACGGCGGATCTCATCCCTCCAACCCCCTCCTAGAAACACTCATGAGCTAGAAACAGCCTTAACACAAGAGGGGGCGTTGATTCCACAGGATCTGATAAACTCCCTGATTCTTAGTATGGGTCACCGATGTAGAGCCTGTCTATCAGTTAAAGGCGATCACACTGCACTGTTTATGCACTGACTGCAAGAAGACCATTGCTTGACCGGCTAATTTGCGTAAAATATGTGTTAGAATTCTTTGATTTCGGGTATTCTAATCAAAAATGGAATAATAAATTTGTGCATAAAATTCCATTGATAAATGTTCAATAAAATATGAGATAAATGAAAATAATATGTTGTTCCTTTAATTTGCGGACCAGCGTATTTGGTTAACATTATTATGGAGATACTGAACTAATACAAGCTTGAGATGAAAAAATTCAATAGAAATTTTAATTTAATTATATGTTATTTGGTGTGATTTCGAAAATGAACTTCATTTTTTCGAATCATGTCAGGTATTTTGTAAAATCGATTTTTGTATATATATATATATTAAAAATATATATAATTTATTGCATTTTTGAAAACTCAAGATTACCAATATTTATCCAGCCAAATATTTATAATATACTTTTTTAACAGGGCATGGCGATTTTAACACACATATATATAGAACATAAATGTATCATTCAAAAAATAATCCCATTGAAACAAGAGTAAATATCTATAGATTTATATATCAATTTTTTCGAAGAGTTTCATCATTGATGAGCTAGTAGTTAACAATATATTTATTATCGTAAAGATAGAAGCTGAATGACCAGCATTCATATTTCTATGAAAAATAGACACTTCGGCCAGTTTAAGTTTTTATTTTTCTCAACGTTTTGACAAAAATCTTTTGTCTTACTCAGGAGAAGTAATGAAAATGACAAACCAAAAGATTTTGTCGAAACGCTGAGAAAAATAAAAACTCTAACTGGCCGAAATGTATATTTTTCATAGAAATATATTTATTGTTGCAGGTATGACTGCTTGAATAAAAAATCGGAAAAAATTAATAAAAGTTTTTAAATGATATTGATACATGATATTTGTTAATACATATGAACATACTTGGTAAATCTAAAATGTTTAAGAGCGTTCACAAAATGAGTAATAAAATCCACAATATCCATCACATAATTGAGTAATATTTATTGATTAATATTTCAAATTCAATTTATAGGTATATCTGAATAGAGTAAAATCCCGCTTAAACGAATCTGGGATATAGCGAACCTTCCCTTATAATGAACCTGAAACAATCCCCAATTTTATAATAGCTAACTGTGGCTGTAAAAAACCATGGCTATAGTGAACAAGGTTCAGTCCCATTAGGGATTGCTATAAAGAGATTTTTAAAACCATAAATATTCCACAATATTTATATTGAATCATGAATAGAGGGGTTTACAGTACATACAAGGAACAATGTGAAAAATAGTATAAATGTGAAATTGAACTGGGATGAGATGAATAAATTTAGAAAAAGGCATCTCCTTATCGTGCAACTAATTTCTTTGTTTTTTTAATTTACAAGGAATTTTCAACGTATAATAAATTTATTATCATGTTTATATAAAGATCAAAAGGTATTATGTTTAGTGATTTATTGTGATGTAAAATGTGGTTGGTATAATATATATATAATAATTTGATTAGTTAAAGATTTGATAAATAAGTAATCCATAAGTCAGTCCAGTTCCACAAACAGAGAGTAAAGTTCCAAGTTTCAGTTCCAGAAATTCCCCAGCCATAAGTGTAACTCCAGGATTCATTTGTTCAAAAGAAACTGCGTAATATCGAACCTCGGGGATATCTTTCGTGATATACCGTGATATGATCATTGATATCTTCTTGATTTCTTTGTTCAGAATTCCTCCCAGGTAAAAGAGACTGATAAAATAAAAAAATAACAATATATTACAGATAATGAAAAAAAATATCTTCAGATAATCATATTTATAAGCATTGTTTTCTAATTTAGTCAGTCCGAACAAATTTATAAAACTGATTAACACATTTCCAATAAATAATATCAAAGGAATGGAATACATTTCATTCACTTTCAGTATGTGTTCTTTTAAATTTTCAAATTTTCTCAAATTCTGTTTAAAGCATCTGGGACTTGTTGATATATGAATAGTTTTTCGTATATATGTAGATATGGAAATCAATTTTAAGATAATAAAAATCAAAACAAGAATATGTAAAGTATTTACAAAATAATCGTAGGCAATAATCAAACTTAAAAATATATACCTATAACCTATATAATATTCTCTTATTATAATGAATATGAATATAAATATAAAAATACCAATGTGCATAACAAATGAAAACCGAAAATACAGTATAGCTCGAGACGATAATTCATTTGGGAGGTTTTTTAAATCGTTAATTAATTTCCTGATAGATTTGTAGTTAAAATAAATTATAAAATTGAATGAAGAATTAATAAATAGGTTTATAACTTCTTGGAATAATAATATATATATATCGTTTTCATATTGAATAAACATCCAACATTGTGAAATTCTGGCAGAAATGAATAAAATATATTCTACCCACCAGCATATTTTCAAGCCAAAATTTGGATTGATTAAAACAAAATTTCCAGTAAAATATCCAATAATTATAAGATATCTTGGGAAAAAAGAAGAAAATATAGCTGACGAATATGGGATGATCATTATTTGAATTTGTTGTAAATGTTATTTCTTATTTAAAAAAAGCTATAAGACTTCCTAAATATGTAAAATGGCTTCAAGATGTTTTGCCAAATGAATAGCTCTCAACAGTTTTTGATCAATGAATTTTCATTTGGTCGCTAAGCGACCAAAACGTACAAACATCAATTGGTTAATCACATTTTCACTGTTTACCTATTTTATATATACAAACAACAACAACAAAAAGCTTTATTAATATATTTTGGTCTTATATAGATTCTTCGAGCAGAAATGTAGGGCACATGTAGGAATAACAGTAATAATACCAATGATTAGAAATGTTATTTACAGTATATCAAATAAGGGGGGAATAAAGAAAGGAAGGACTTAACATAAACTTATATACAAACAGTCGAGAACAAACAGTTATTTTTTCTTAAAGAGCAATAATTAGTAGTATTGACAGAAATATTCAAAATTATCAGCCATATCTGTAGTTTTATACATGGATGGATCAAGGGTAGACGGTTATCTAAAGCTGGAATATAAAGTCTTAGGGGTTAATTGATTTTTTTCAATAACCAGTTGTTCAGTAGAAGCTAACTGATTCATTGAGTTATTTCGAATATCACTCGAAGCTTTATATAATTTCAATTTCAAATATTTAAAATAAATCTTCGGTCAGCCAGCGTAGTCCTATTTTGAATATGAATTTACATGCTTGTGCTTTATTGTTGAACCATAAATATGAATTTTAATATCTTCTTGATTATAATGGTAACTATTTTTTCTTAATGAAAAATATTGATACTTTAAATATATCCTTTCCCTCTTTTTAACATGTCAATGCAATGAAAACCCTATCATTTTATTCGGGAATAATTAAAATACAATATACAGAGGGTGTTCACACTCATAGGGGAAACAAGTTTTATTATAAAATATTAAAAATTAACACCATATTTGAAAATTTTCAAATGTTCTATTTGAAAGCCTTTTTGTTTATATACAGAAAGGCACCTGATTTTCCACGATAGCAGACACTTTCTGATCATGGTCATGCTCAAAACATCCCATTCTTCCTTTACCACTTTCCA